GAAGCTTCAACTCGGCCTGACCGGAGGCTGACGCCGCAAATGTGCCTGACGTGGCAAGTCGACACGTGAATTCGCCGAAGCTGAAATTCGGTCTTCCCCGATCCTGAAGCCTAGAATGTGCCTGAAGCCGACAAAAAGGCTTTCGAATTTGCTTGAGCGACAGCAGCCCGACGAGTTGAGGCCACTGCAAGCACGTCCATTCGTGAGGGCATGTGAGAAACCACGGCATCAGCGTGACAAACCCGGCCAGCGACTCCGGCAGGTACCGCACGGGCAGCGCAGCCAGCGCAGCTTTTCATATAGTATATGCATATATACATATCTGTGTGTGTGTGATTCTTACTAGAGTTTGTGTATATGTACATGCATATATGTAGAGGGCGGCCGGGAGTGTGGCAAACGACCTGACGCCGAATCCGAACTCTTGAAGCCGCATTGCTTTAGGCGACGCCGAATTCGGACGCTGCATTGTCTGATGCAGAATTGTCCCCTGACGCCGAATTAAGTCGTGAAGCCGAAGTGTCTCGTGACGCCGCATTGGATGGTGACGACGAATTGCGAAGCCGCATCATTGGGTGGTAACGCCGAACTGCTGACGCCACATGAGGTGGTGACGCCGAATTGCTGACTCACGCTGCATTAAGTGGTGACGCCGGATTGGTGACGCCGCATTAGGTGGCGACGCCGAATTCCTGACGCCACATTAGGTGGTGACGCCGAATTGGGTCGTGACGCCGGATTGTGAACCCTTGGGTCTGATGCCGGAGTCCAGGCCCTGCATGACTTTGATGCGCACACGCAGGGGTGCGGCACTGTTCTGACAGCGCACAGAAACGCATATTTTCGACAGTGGCAGAAGCACGCAGTTTGCGCTTCCTCATAACGTCCCAACGTTCCAGGAGCACCTCGGCCGGACTATTTGAAGCGGTTTTCAACTCAACGGCTCTTTGGATTCATCAATGTTTTTCTGAGAATTTTATGCTTCAGGGTTGCGTAAAATTTCTGTTCCCAAGACCTTGGTTAAGATTCTAGTACAAGTTCTGCTAATGAGTCCTAATGGTGCTCGCAGAAGTGTAGTGCTACGGACGATGTACACAATGAACCCTAACCTAAATACATAAGAAGAACCTGACACCCATAACTTCGGGTGTTATGTTTCACAGCTCATGTAGCAAGCTGCTCGTAGGTTACTGTAAAAAGAAGACACACTGGGCAAACCTTGGCTATCAGAAGATCATACCAGACGATCACCTGCATTATTCCGCAGACAAGTTTTCCGAACAGTTTTTCTGAGTTAGGGCTTCCTATTTCAGCACAAACGTGAAGAGTGTGTATCTGTAGTAGCAGCCCACCGAAAAAACTATGAGGACCTGCAGAAAGCAACCTTGATGAAAAGGACTGACTGATAAGCCGATCAACCTTCTCACTACAAGGTGACCGAACCGTAAAACGTAGCACCCCCGGAACCTTACGCCCTTGACCAAGCGAGAGTTCGATTTACGGTTTCGGGTTCCGAAATCCCTAAATCCTGGGGTCACGAGTCTTGAATTGCTGAAGCTCTAGGTTTTGCACATGGTCGAGCAGGGTGTCCTAGTGTAGGAACCCCGATTTTTGGATGTTTGATATTCGCAAAAACTCCGTGGGCCGGGGGCTCAGACGCAAGGAGCTGTGTTTTAGGTTTAATCAGCGAGAAGCAACCTGCGTACTCCAAGTGCTCATATAAGACCTCATGTCTAAACTCCTCCAACCTTCTGTTTTGAAGCCTACACCTTATAGCTCCAGGCCGTATTCGACTGTGGCAGCCAGGAGACTTCGAAGCCATGATCCAATTGTCAGAACTCAACTTAAAGCATATGCCCCGAGTGGCGGTTTGTGGCTGCAGATGCTGTAAGCTCTTTGAGGTGGCCCTTGAAAGCCAGTGCGTGGTTCAGTGGCCGTAGCCGGCCTTGTGCTGGAATGCGCTGATTGCGACAACATGCACGGTTTGCGCCGGAATGCACCGATTGTGTCGATTTGCGCTGGAATTGCGCACATTAACTGATGGCGCGCGCCTATTGTTTAAAAACAAAACAGAACTCTGATATTGAACTCTAAGAATAAAGCCTTGGACTGACGGGGCGCCCCTAATTTTACGTCAGAACCTTTACAGATCTTGAACTGCGAGGGTGGGGCCTTGAACTGTTGGAGCGCCGCTGATATTTAAATCAGAGAACTTATAGATCCATGAACTTCGCGAAGAAGCTAACACTGATGGCGTCTCAACCCCTTCCCTTGCAGGCACGCTTGTCCGAACTGCTCTTCTTCACGGATGCTCTGCAATCGGTCTGCGCAGACGGGAAATAGCTCAATGGCTCTTGAAGCAGAAGCAAAGACAAAGCAAAGCTTCGGCAGATCCGTTTACACTCCACATACCAACACAGTATGTACTTCGAGCTTAAAGTATCAAGACAGGGAATGTTCTAAGGCCAAAGTATACACCACGCGGACACTTGGAGCTTTAGGCGTTGTTGTCATGCACCATTGGAGACGCTGTCTTTTGGCGGCAACAGTCAGCATGCGTCTCGAGCAATGTGGCTCTGAAGAAGCCGTCAGGTCTTGATCAAAGTCGCGACTTAGCCATCTAGCACCGGCTTCGACAAAGACGGGCTACGCGGCCTCAGGGCGGTGGATGGTCTCACGAATCTCACTGCTCGACCTACTGGAGGATCTTCGCCCTGTGCCATGTCAGCAGATCACCCGTGCACATCCAGAGGTCCTGGCCACGGTGCCAGTAGTCGTACTGAGCGGATCTGATGCATGCCTGCATGTATGCTGAGCTCGTCTGGACATGTTGGTTCAACCTCAAACGGCTCTTGATGAACTTCCAAGAGCGGTCGACGATCTGCGTGCCAACCTTTACAGTCAGTTTTCGTCCGGTAGGAAGAGTGGTTTTCTTGAGCTTGACGTACGCCGGCTGCTGCCACGTCCACACACCACCGACCTTGATGCGTGTCTTCTGGTGGATGACTGACCCATGGTGTACTCCACGAACCTTTTGCTTGTATGTTTTCGCACTGTCTGTGTGTAGAATGATTTGCTTGTCCTTCAGCCACTTGTCTGCGATGGTGCGCTTGAATGCTGAGCTGGCAAGTGGCGGCAGGGGACTTTTTGCTAGACTTTTTCTTGGCCTTTTCGAGCATGCGAAGGAGGAGGCCATCAGCTGCCGGACACCAGGGTTCACCCATGCCAACCTTCATGTCCAACTGTCTTTGAACATAGTTCATCAGGGTGCGGAGGCTGTCCTTGGACATGGGCAAACGGGATTGGTGGACATTGACCTTGTCCTCCACAATCGCTTGCACGACAGCATTGTCGTTGCGAACGAGACTGTGTACCCAAGGAGCGGATGTGGTAGCCGATGCGGAAAAGAAAGACATGTTCGCTGTTGTTGCGCTGGTGGTGAGCGTTAGCCGCATGCAGATGCTCCCGTTGCCGAGGGATGCGACTCCCGAGAAGGTCAGCTGCGACATTTTGGAGCGCAATGGTGAAGACTATTCGGATGATTCAGGCCAGACTTGCGACGGGGCATCGGCACATAGAGAATGACATGCAACAGTATGCAATGTGATACTACGACTACTACGACGACGACGACTACTACTTTACTACTACGACGTACTACTACCACTAATTGGTAAGTTCTACTACAAGTGGCATGGGGCAAGGGCTGTTGCCGGCAACACATCGGGTATTGGATCTCGGATACAGGCCTTAGCCCCGGTACAAAGCGGTACAAGTTGTACCGGTCTTCTCTTGGAACCTTGGAAGGATCCCCCCGGTCAAACCGGTACAACCGGTACAAGTTGTACCGGGAGAATCCAAGATTCCAAGATTGCTGCGAACTCTTTCTCGGAATCTTGGATACCGGAGCCCATCTTGGAATCTTGGATTCCCCCGGTACAACTTGTACCGGTTGTACCGGTTTGTACTGGGGCTAAGGGGCCAAGGCCTGTACCCACTATCTTTGGGGCGGAGTTCGCCCAACCGTGTGTGTGTGTGTGTGTGTGTGTGTGTGTGTGTGTGTGTGTGTGTGTGTGTGTGTGTGTGTGTGTGTGTGTGTGTGTGTGTGTGTGTGTGTGTGTGTGTGTGTGTGTGTGTGTGTGTGGTTGTGTGTGTGTGTGTGTGTGTGGTGTGTGTGTGTGTGTGTGTGTGTGTGTGTGTGTGGTGTGTGTGTGGTGTGGTGTGTGTGGTGTGTGTGTGTGTGTGTGTGTGTGTGTGTGTGTGTGTGTGTGTGTGTGTGTGTGTGTGTGTGTGTGTGTGTGTGTGTGTGTGTGTGTGTGTGTGTGTGTGTGTGTGTGTGTGTGTGTGTTGTGTGTGTTGTGTGTGGGTGTGGGTGTGTGTGTGTGTGTGTGTGTGTGTGTGTGTGTGTGTGTGTGTGTGTGTGTGTGTGTGTGTGTGTGTGTGTGTGTGTGTGTGTGTTTGCTAAATGTTGTGGTATTCACGTAGGAAGACACACATACAGACGACATGAAGAACAAACAAACGGGGATGGCACACGAAGAGCTCGAAACAGACAGAAAGCGTGGATCTCTGGGGGGGTACCATAAAGCGCTCGAAGCAGACAGAAAGCGTGGATCTTTGGGGGGACTACAATATGTATATACATATATATATATATATATATATATATATGTATATATATGTATATATGTATATGTACATATATATATATATGTGTGTATTATTATGTGTATGTGTATATATAAATATATATCTACATATGTGTGTGTGGTACACACCTAGATGTAGACTTCAAGAAGGAGCTGTGCAAGTTGAGGCAGTGAAACGAAATTTGACGTGTGCACGCGTGTAGAGGGACAATACAACATAAGATCAAACATAGCGTAGTTTGCGGTAGATTCGGCTTTTGCAAGCTTCCATGGAATCCTCGAGACAAGGGATTTTATCAGCACGCGACCATGTTTCAGGACAGGCTGGATTGAGCATGGTGAGGCTCCGACCGGAGGACCTCCACCAGCGGCCTCTGTCGAGCTCCCAAACTAAAAATCCCTTCACATTCTTCACATCGGACTTTGGGGCCCAAGCGGCCTCTGCGGCACGACGGACACTGGCTCCGGGCTCCAACAAAATCACGGCCTCGGCCCTGAGCTCTCGCGTCTGCTCTAGCACATTACGCGCGCGTCGCGTCTCGGCTGGGCTTCCAGCGGAGCCGTCGTCAAAGCGTCCGGAAAGTCCGGACTGCACAGCCCAAAACGGCACGCAAGCGCCCTCTGCAGCACGGGAGGCCTTGAAGACATCACAAAGCTGGTTGATCCAGACAGCTTCGACACCTCATGCATGAACGACACCATGCAAGTGATGCTACATCTGACATGTACTAGTCTCACCAAAACATCACCGCAACCCGGAAGAGAATGTTTCTAGATGCCGGCACAGAAAATGCGATCCACCGTTAAACAACCTGCCAGCAAAAGTCGCGTAGATCCCCAAACAGTGAAACCTCCCGACGACCAAGGCAACCAGGACCGGCAGCACCAAACCTAGGGATGTCGAGACCACACCCTGTGGCCCTGCTAGGGCTCTAACTCTGAGGACCTTCAGCGATTCGAAAGCTAAAATTAGCCCGATTTCCAGCCGAAGACACTCCAAGATGTGATCGGGGCTCTGGTGGGAGCACGAATATACAATGAATCAGTATCTCTCTTTAAACCTCGCCTAAAAGCCCAAAAATGCTACCACACACCTTTGATGAAAGAGCCAGCAAGTGATGTTTCAAGCATCACGCTCAAGCATGGTGCATGATAAGTTGACAAGCCACGTGCGCCCCGGAGCTACACGAATCTTCAGAAAAATCTGACGCTCGGAAATTCCAGGCGAAAGCTGCTCTGCAGTAGGAGGACCATGCAAGTTGCAATGACCCGCTGCCAACATCTGAACAGCAGAAGGAGGGGTGTCCCTCCTCTCTCACTCTCAAGGATATATCGATCACGGCTTTCCTGCACACGTGCAGATTGGATTTCGGTCGGCGAGTGGTGCTAGGTGCAGCAAATCAACTTGTCTACAAGACCAGGAGTCGCAATAACGCTAATCCTTCCGGCTCGTGATCTGGCCCAAAGACTAGCCTGTGCCGCAGTCTGTGCCAGAATATCCAGAATTCAAGGGGCAAAAGGTTGTGACGCTGACCTCCAGTGCAGCAGCCACCTTTACAGTTCGAAAGATTTGTGAGAGCTGTCCATGTTTTGCTACCTCAAAACCTCGCGAGTGTGCTTCGAGTCACCATAAACAGTCCAAATGCCGGCAGCGCCTCCTGCGACCCCTTTCCCAATGAAACAAATCATCCACGGAGCATTTTCTCGCATCTTTGCTAGCCGCTTACAAGCCGGGATGGACCCAGGAGGGACAGATTCCTGCGAGGACAATTCGACGACCAAGGGAGCCTTCGAAGTGCTATTACAAAGCTGAGATCTCAAGCACCGAGGCTGCCACGGAAACCAAAACTGCCGTGCTGCTTCGTCTCACACTATAGGCAAATACCTGACAGAAACGGTTGTATCGTTTGAATCGGAAAAGGTGCCAAACAAACCGATTGCCTGGGACCGATTGCTGGGCAGCACCTGCTCGAACTCATCGCCCTGAAAACACGCTCCCGAGATCAGGAATCTAAAACATATACAACCCTCACTGACACTAGTTCACTACTCTTGCACAAGTAACCTTGTCACAGGCCTCGACCAGCTGCTTTGTGCCCTGGCTATCCAGAACCGCTCGCACCTGACAGCTGGGCCCAGGAAGGGAAAATGCTGCAAACGACAGGGTTTAGCCACGAACCGACAACGGTACATGAACTTCAGCATTGTGGGCCTGCTCTGGCTGCACGAATCCAGAAACCATAAACCATCACGAATCACGAGGACTGGGCCGTTGCAGTGGCAGCGAGGTATATGAAGCAGGGCAAGCGACAGTCGATCAGCCCGACCTGAGGCTTACATCCACTTGGAACTTCGTGGCTGCACGTGACTCAGTATTGAAGTCGATGTCGTGGATGCTCCCGCATCTCCTGGCAACGCAACCAAGGCCTATTGGCCCGGTTTGGTGGCCTGACCGGGAAAACCTTCGGTGGTCGCACAATCTATCCCCAAACGGCTGCTGCTTGTTTGTGGCATACACGCCCGCTGCGATTGGCTGCTGTCCGCTTTTCATGTGCATCTGGCGACGAGTCAGCTGACAGCCCTGAAGACCGTGCAGCAGTCTCCACCTTTGCTCTTGGCCCGCATGGCTGCCCGTGCCATTACCGTTCCTGATTTCAATCTTCGCTTTGTTTCTGCAGCATACGGCCCTGGCAGAAGTTTGAAAAGCTCAGCACTCCCTCCTCTCTCCCTCCTCTCTCCCCCACTTCCTCTGCTCGATCTTTCCATCAATCATGGAAAGTAAACACTTGGTGTGGAAGTTTGTTTCTGTTTCCAACCAGCATGGCAGAGCTTGGGTGAGCACGCCGTGGCTTGCAAGTTGGCTCTGCGTCGTGAATCGCAAGACCTGGAACACACCAGGATCCAGAAGCAGATTCGCAGTGCCGGCGCCTCGTGATGCCACGCCTCGTTGCTTGTCGCGCCTGCCGTAGCCTCCGAAGGATCGGCTCTTGTGTCGTGAGACGACGACGGCATCCGCTCAGGATGATGCCCAGCTGTAGGATGCCGGGTCAGGATGACGATGAGTGTCAGCCACTAAATGCACCTTGCGGTTGCGGGGCAGTGCAGGCCCCACTCTGGAAACCAGAAACAGCAAGAGTAGCTCGTCCTTCCCAATGGAGCTTGCGGACAGCGTGACCTGAGCAGAACACTTTCGGTGAAACACTCTTTGTGGGTTCATTTTTGTGTGCAACCTCGGTCGGCTGTAGGGGACCGTCAGGAATGAGGACACGAAACTCGCGCCACTTCTCCTCGCAGCTTTTGTGGAACACATTAAAATCATTAAATCGTTTGGGAGAAATTCATTGGGAATCTGCCAGACCTTCCACGACCCAGCTGCAAATGCAGCTGGTGGCACAGAGGAGTGAATGGCAACACCATCCTAGCAAGAAGAGGCGCAATCAGCCATGGCAGCAAAAGCCAGAACTCCATGGAAAGCGCTCCATCGGCCACGGCACACGGCCTTCAAGGTCATCACACCCGTGTCCGTCTCTGCGGTGATCCAGAACTCTGTGGCCTGATTTGGAGCGGCCGTAGAAGAACAAGACAAACAGAAAAAGAGAAAGAGAGATGTAGGGAAGGAGGAAAGACTTGTGCACGTGTCGCTCTCAAAATGATTTCACAGGTTTGGAGGCCCCGTCAAATCTGTTGAAGGCTTCGGCAGTGGAGATGCTCGAGTTTCGGCAAATCCGAACATAGATGCTCTCCTGCAACAAAACCGGGGAGCATTGCACTTTGTTTTGGGCAGACGGAGCAAGGGCAGGGCTCAGGATGCAGCGTCTCCTCGCTCCGCACATCGCATGCAGCCATCACATCTTTGCCTGGTGCAAACTCGGACTCCCTGGCCCACGGTCGGCTCAGCGGAGTGTTGGCCGAGTGCGCTGCTTGAGATCAACAAGGCTGCTCCACTTCCACCTTGGCAAAAACTACAAAAAAGGGATCCCTGCGAGTCCAATGCGTCACACATGTCACACTGCACACGTTGCCTGGAGGCACCTCACCTCTCCAACGATTGAGAATGGAAGCCTTGCACGAGAACTGAGCATCGCTTGTGATAACTCGCCACAAGTGTTTTTGGGTTCTCAAGAGCAAACCGGGGCCGTCAGACAGAAAATTGGGAAACACACTTCTGCTGATTGGCGATTAATTTGTGGTAGGAGTCCTTCCAATACCATCACGGCAGCGACCATAAAAACACTTTCTCGGCGGCAAGGTTCATCTGCATTGGGCTTCTCAAGGATTTAGCTTTAAGTATGTGGGCTGAACTGCAACGAAATCAAAAACTGTGAAAAAAGAAAACTGAGTGCTGGCCCGAATGTGGAGAGTGGAGACAAGGCCAGTTGGCGTGCATTCCCATGTACTCAGAGCCGACGCCAACCCACAAGACTAACGACCGTCTGATGTTTCTCAAGAGTGCGGAGCACACCACACAACGGACAGCCTCACGGGGGAACGCTGCAAAGGTCGGATCGTCAGTCGACTAGCCAAACTGCAGCTCTTATTCACAGTCAGGATGCTGAGCCATGCATTGGGGGCCGGAGGAAGGGGTACTGAGGTCGTTGGAGCAAACCAGGGCCGAGGCAACCTGCTGGACCGCTTATGACTGGAAACTCCGGGTTCGAGTCTGGCTGCCTTTATACGGACCGACAGCGTTGAAAGCTGTTGGTCCGTGCTTGTGCTTGGGAGTGTCGATTCTGTTGCTTCTTCTTGTGATTTCTGCGATCTCGGCCTCGGCGAATAGAACGCATAGCGTTGCACTATAGGGTTGAGCTATTCGCCTTCGACGGAAGAATCCAAACACTTGTGGCCCGTTGGCGGGGACGCCTCTCGAGTCCGCAGCCCTCCTGACTGGAGCACAGAATGAGCCGAAGGGCTGTAGTCGTGCAGTTCTGGTCTCGGTGCTATGCTTGCGATGAAATGCAAGACTGAACACCTGGCTTCTGTTGATGGACCATGCTGTCGTTCACAAGCCTGTCTACAGCTCGAGGAGTCGTTCATCCTCTCCAGCTCTCCTTGCATTCTGCTTAGACTCCTTTCAACCCTCGGAACTGGTCCTAGGGGCGTGAGTGTACCCAACATCCACTCTGTCTTATTCTCCTGATGCTGCACGACCCCGAACATGCGCTGGCCTGTAGAGCATCTGTAGTCAGCATCGCCGACAGCGTCTGCCAAAGAATCAGTTGCATGCAGGCATCGACATGGAAGCTGGAGATTCCACAAGCGCCCACCAGCTCTGAAGCATCAGCAGCAACAGCCGTCACCTGCGGAATTCTCAAGCTCTGAAGCATCTCACTGTCTCACTCCTCCACTCCTCCGGCTCATGGCTGAGATTCTGTTGTGCTGGCGACATGAGCTTTCAGCACTCACGAAGGATGAGTAGCATCCACAGTACCGCGTCTGGTGCATGAGTGGGGCGGAAGTCCTGATGTGTACATAATTCAAGCTGAGATTGTTCCAACTTCGCAGTTCTTTATAATTTATAACTGCACACACTCAGCTTCAGCGATAAAACATCGATCCAGTTGTGGGGGGTCAGATGCAACACGCATCTATCCGCGTCTAGGTTCTTCCGATGTCTGCCGAGGTTTTTGAAGGAAGAGGCAGGAGGCACGCAGCAGCAGAGCAGAAGAGGCGCACTTCAGTCACCTATCTTCATCGTAGCACGCACATGAAAATCTCGGCTATGTGTGACATGTGGGCAAGCTCGCAATCAAGGGAACCTCTAACGACGGACTGCGCGAATCGGCTTGCTGCCGGCCTGCAGAGAGGAAACATGGACACAACAAGCAGTAAGCAGTACGATGTCAGTACAAGACGGAAACAGACCATAGCCGACGGGCAAAGCCTTTGCCACTACTAGTACCAGTCGGAGCATGCGGGGGCACCCGGCAAGGAGAGAGTGGAGAAGCCAAACTTCTGCCCGGGTCTTCACCAAAGCTCGTATCAGCAAACACTAAGTACCACGGATGCATAACAGAACAAGCTGGCACCGTCACGTCGACTCCATCTTTCACCAGAATCCTGCGAGTGATGGGACGCCGAGCAAAAGCGGAAGCGGCAAAGCGGCCAACACCATCAAGTCCTTGCACCATCGCAAGCCGCTCCTCTGAGAAAACCTGGAAAACATTCATGCAACAAAAACATCACATCCAGGCATGTTGACGGCCTGCATGAGGCACGGCCTAAGATGCTCTCACAGCCCAACGACATGCCGATTTCGTTTCACAACACTGCCCTGAGCGCGTGGCTGGGGCTAAGAATGGTCCCGGGTAAAGCCGGGCCACGCTGATGTACACGGTCTAAGCCAAAAGGACACAAGGCGTGGCAACCAGATCACTCAGCCAACTCGGGCCATTGGCCCCTGAACCGACCATCATGATGCAGAACTTCTGCTCCAGCCGATTCAGGTCTCCATGCACTTGCAGCAAATCAACCTGACGTCTTTCGACACTGCGGGCTTTCCCAAAACTGGAAGCACAGAAAGCACATGCCAGTGGTTCGACGACGAGCTCGCTGCTGCTTTTCTCCACTTTGACGCCATGGCCTCCAGCAGCCAGCACGGAGCAGAGAGATGCACAGAGCATAAGAGAAGCCCAGTCCGAGTGCAGGACCGATGCAAGAACTGGCGTTGATTGAGGAGCTTGAATCGACTCGGTAGACCTCAACCTCCCACAACACCCGTGGAGAGCCCGGACGCTCAGAGCTCGCCTTGGGGCCTCGAAATGCCCGCTCAGCGGAAATGCCACGAGCCTCAAATCCTCGCCCGAAGTGCCCGACGGAAGGCACTAAACAGATGGAGCGAGCTGGTGAGAGGTAGACAAGCAGAGAAAATTTGAACATAAATATCCAAAAAGATAGACAAAAAGAGAGAGAGAGAGAGAGAGAGTGTGTGTAAAATTCCTGTATACAATCCAAACAGTTATAACCAAGCAAGATCAATCACTTTCCCCAATCGCACAGCACTCCGCGTTCCTTTGTGCAACCAAGCAGTCGTCCAGTCTTGAACCAATGCCATTCGGCATTGTTGCATTAATGCATCTTGAACGTTGTAGGGTCACTGGGCTCGTGTCATTTAGCACAGTCCCTTGATCTTGACGTCAGCCGAAGATCATTCAAATCACGAACCAATAGATAAACAAACATCATAGCATTCGGGAAGCAGGTACCAGCATTCGAAAGAAAACGAACAGTTGCATTGAGCTCATTCAAGACATTGTTCAGATCCGAAAAGACTTTTGTGCAGGCACATTGCACTGTACAGTTGGTGTGCTCACAATCGGGCAATGTTCTGTCATTCTCTGCAATCCACAGAAGAAATCCATTCAACATTTCAACATAGACTTCACATTCCAAAACATGTGGCATTCCTGGGCACTCCTTAATTTCCGATGAGACTCAGTGCGGCTCACTTGGCCTTGGCATTCGCATTCATCCGGAGCACAACCTCAGCTCCAGGAACCAGTGCATTTGCGACAGTTGCGAGAGCAGTCGCTGAGCCGGAGGATGCCATTGTCTTCGCTTTCTTCGAGGGCATTCTTGCACTCGACGAGGCTGGGCCATTCCAGGCATTCACATGCTCACCGTCGCCATCTTCATACAACTCGTCCCAAGTGGAACAGTCATGGTGCAGTCCGGAAGAACTCGCCTGCATGAGTGGGACCATGGTGTGTCCCATCAGGCGCCACTCGATCAAGCCATTGGGGATCACAGTGGCCATGCGGTTCCATTCCACCATTTCCGCAAGTCAAAGAAGCGGGCTGCCATTAGAGCGGAACATCATATCATCAGTCAAAGGCATTCTGATGATACCCATGCTGCTCAGTGAGGACTCACTGGGAACAGTCCAGAACCACTTCTTCAGGACATTCGCGACGCCCACATGCTCCTCGTCATTCTCCAGGGTGCCAGTCTGGGTCGAGATGTGGTCAGTGAACTGGCGATTGAAATAATTCTCCAGTTTTGTTTCTGGTCCGACGCTTCAGTCCACCTTCTTGCGGCTTCATTCTTGGACCTTCGCCTCAGTACAAGACCAATCCATCATAGGCCGCATTCTCATCGAAGCATCCCTGGCAGAACCATTGCACAGTTTTGCGCAATGCTGTCAGTCCACAAAAGCTCCCGTTCAGCTGGTGGCATGGGAACTGCGACAAATCAATCCTGCCGGTCTTGAAGAACTTCTCGCCAACATTCGCCGGAAGCATGATCCAGCATTCTCCTTGGCATTGGGCGAAAGCTTCCATTGAATGTGCCAGTCACCCTTCGTGAGGAACATTCGCTCTGATTTGGACAATGCGTACCAGGCGGTCTCCACCATGCACTCATGTGGGCCATTCTGCATCGGTGTGATGCCCAAGCTGTTCATTCGCAATCGCAAGCTCGACATTGGACCATTGGAGCTCTCATCCGGGTGCTCAAATCGGCATCCCGACAGTCCTCCACTCCTTGTCCCAGGAATCACCAGGGACAGGATCGGAGCCCAGTCATCATTCCCCTCGCGACGGTAGACAGCTTCAGCCAGTCCGACCTTCTCATTATCATCCATATCGATCTTCTCCTGAACTTCTTCACTGCGGGCGGCAACATATCCATCCAGTCGCTGCCAAATCGCCGTCACTTGCTTTCCAAAGTCCATTCGGGTCAGCGCGGCTGACACTTCCCGATTCACAGGACCATTCCTTGACAATCGGTGCGTCATCAAGGTCTCATTCATCAAGTGCAGTGACTCGACGGGGAAACCACTCTTCCACACTGGTGGAAGTTTGGGAGTAAGTGCCAATCCAGCAGAGGCTGAAGCAGTCCGCTCCTCGTTCGGCTGATTCTCAGGAGCAGGAAGGATGCCCAGCGCGGCATCAATCTGCTGATTTCCATGAGGCGCTTCAGTCGGACCTCCTTTCGCAATCGATTCCCCAGTCGCCAGTCAGGTCAAGTCCTGGCGATTCTTAGGCACTCCGCCAATCAGGCGCAATGCAACCAATGAGGATTGCACTCCATTATTCCTGATCTCTTCCACAGAGCGGCCAGGCAAGGCAGCCAAATCCACTGCCAGTTGCTCTCCAGTAATGTTCTCATACCGGACTTCCGGAACAGTCGGCAGTGTGGGTTGGGCCATGGCTGCACTCGAAGCAAGGAGGCAGTCTTACCGACACTACGGGCACTCTACAGTCGCACTAATCTGGCGTCCGGCTCCCCATTCGCCCTTTTCCTCCGAGTAACATGGCCTTCTCAAGGCTTGTAGGGCTGCTATAAACGCTTCTGGAAACGGCATACAGTAGAATCCATAATTGGGTCGGTTGCTGCGGCGAATTTGTATCTGGCCAGCAGCGGCCAACAAGGCGCACGTCAAAAACATCGTTTGTTTAGGAGTAACGTACACAAATCCTTGGCAGGCATGGCCTCGACTGCTGCACAACAGAATAGAATCGTAAATGATTGCAGACTTGCCACCAAATCTTTCCATCAGCTGTCTCACAAGTCAACGAAAACTAAACAAGACCCCACTACAACAACGAACTGAAGCTTTAGGGTCTGGAGTCTGGGACTTATGGTTTATGGATTAGGGTTTTGGCCCTCACGTTCGGTATTAAGATAATGAAAGCTTTCGATACGGCTGTCCTACAAAAGCTTGGGGAAGTCTGCTTCACCGTAAACCTTTCAACAATTATGGACACCAATCCCTAAAATCCACGACTTAATGCCCTGCGCCTGTAACATTGCAGGTTTGCAGAATTTGGCCCCGAAAAGTCTGTGAACCATGAGGTCCTTCACAAGAAAATGTTTCCTGCAAGCACTCCTATGCTCTAAAAACTGACAAACCCTGAGCCATGTGGGATTTCGAGTTTGGGGCTTAGTTTTGCAGGGCAATAAAGTCAATAAAGTCCGGGTCGACCTGAGTCTGATGAAACTGCATGTTTTCGAGAAGCCTTTCTGCTGCCACCGTCCGCGACTAAAGGCAAAGGTCTCCTTTGCCAGAAAGTCTCCATCCCAAATTATTATTATGTGTCTTGAATTCCTACAGCTTGAAGTCCAAATGAAGCTCAAGCAAGTCCCTGAAGAGAATCCTGCAATGCGAAAGACGTCGAACCACAGCTTTGGAAGGTTTTAGGGTCCGGTGGGGGCTTAGTGTAGGGGTAATGGGGTTTAGGCTAGGGTTGATGATCGAAGCAAACTTGTCGGCAGCCCAATGTCGGAAATTCTCACCCCTTTAGGGTGAAACGATTGCAGCACACGGGCTCAGAAATTAATCCTTCAACCGACTTATGGCTAAACCCAGGGCTTCTACTATTTTCCAGCGGAGGTTTCAAGTTCATTGATTATTGTCAATTATTGTTGTTTGCAAACCCCATGTTTAAAGCCTAGAGCCATCACACCCCAGCACGGCGTCGGCACTCAAAAGTTGGCAGCTCACTCTCCTGGCATGGTCTATCGGTGTTTCGTGCTTCGGGTCATGGGTTTGAGACAAAGTCCAAGCTTTACGGCTGTGAAGGGTTTGAGGGCTTCAGCAGGTTTCGTGGACTTAATGTACAGGGTGGTCACACTTGAAAGTATGCAAGATTACAGTGTTCAGGGTTTGAGGCGTTCAGGGTTGCAAGAGCGCCAAACCTGCCCAACAGTACATAAGCACTCCAACTGTTCGACATCCCGAACCCTCAACACTAAACTCTGGAAGCCAGAACCTCCCCTCGCGAACCAAAGGCCAAATCACACATACCGGGAGAGATCATGCGATAAAGAAGTTTCTGCAACTCGCAAGCACAGGACTTCGAAGCATGCGATTGCAGCACAAGTGAAGCGAGCCGAAGCCAAGTCAAGCAGTACCTTGCAAATACAGCATCTTACTGTAGCACATTACTAAGTACAACTCTTGTACCTTGGCTCACTTCTTTTGCTGCTTGGCCGGTCGGGGCGGTGGCTCGGATGTCCCGGCTTCTGCACCGCATCCGGGCTTGCCCTTGGCCTCCCACCACGACCAAAGCCATTCCGAAACCTCTGCTTTGGCCTGATCGTAAGAGCGAACAACACGAGTGGAAACCGTCGAACTTGTGGATGCAGGCTTGTAAGCTCGGGATATGCTGTTTTTTCCATTCCTCCAGACTTGTCCCTCCGGGAGAAATCCTTGCAAGAATGGTGATGCAGCAAGGGGTGCATTGTGACCAATCCGGCAACCCGGCGGCACCTCCAAATTGGAGGCCGCCCCTTCCTTGGATCCACGTTCCTCCGCCGGCCATGGGATCACCGACGACTGTCCATGCTGAGCTGCATCGGCCTGCGAAGTTTTTGCACATTTCGAAGGAGGTGCAGAGGCAGAAGCCTTGTCATTCTGAGGCGCTGCAGTTGCATCCGTCTCCTTTTTCTCCATCCTCGAGAGCAGCTTGCTCAAGAGTTCAGCTTCACAGACCGTGTCCATGCCCAGCACAGCCGAGTTTCCACCGGGATCATCAATGTCATCATCGTTTTCCATTTCCTCGGTGGCTTTCGTCTTCTGCTTGAAGGTTGCAAGAATGCTCGCTGCTTTGCCCTCGTCATAGCCCATGTGCTTAAAGAGATGCTCGCACGTTGCTTTCTTCGTCATGCTGCCTTTGGCATGACTCCCTTTAGCAGTGCACAACATCCGCAATGCATTGGCAGAAAGTCCTCAGCTGATATGGCATCGGTCTCCTCTGGAATTATAAAAAATTGTTCAAACAACTGGCGAAGCATATGGAGATTAGACAACGACAAGGGGATATCTGAGAAGTCGCAATCGACAGGACGAGCAGGCTATCACGCTACATTTTTCTAACCTTCTTACCTAAGCAGGTACACAGAACTGGAACCTCTGAAATGTGCCCAGCCGTCCACAAGGGTACCAAACTGATGCACAGCCAAAGCTCTGCATGCATCGTTCTCCAAGGCATAGTTGATGATAGGCTGCGGATCTCCCAGCTTCAAGACCATCTCTCTCGCATTCAGCAGCATGGGCTCGGCAGGCAGCAGAAACCAATCGTTGGGGTCGGCCGGGTTGATATCCTAGCAGGGTCATTGTCATGGAACAAAAACTCAATGGCAACTGCCTGTCGAAAGACTGGGGGTTTCGGCGCTCGCACTCGGACAATCCAGTTATTGCATGCAGTCAGCGGCCCAACTAGCACAAGCCATTGCAACCCTACCCTACTAGGATTAGGCGACTCTGCAAGAACCATATTAGTACCCCTAGACAATCTGATGGATTAGGAGCAGCGATGTGCAAATTTTTAGGCAATCCGACCTTCATCTGAAAAGCACTGGTTGGGATGACAGCCACATGATGGTTTTGGCCATAGCAAAGAGCACACTCGCAGCACCACGTATGGAGCATCCACCACGAGAAACAAGTCCTGTCGACACTGCCAGACCTGGACAAAATAAGCAGCAGCAACAAAGGTTTCAACTAACTCGGCGACCCCAAAATTGAAACCGATTGTAAAAAAGCAGTAATATGAAATAAGAACGACATCGCAAACCTGGACGAGGCACCTGAGCAGGCCTGGCGAGCTCCGTGATCCAGGTTCTGGACACGTCACCGTCCAGCCTCTTGCATGTCGACCACACGTTCAGGGCCTTGCGATTGAAATGGTAAGGCGAGGTAGCCGATTCGCGAGCGATGGCATTGAAGTTCTCCAATCCTGTCTCAGCTGCCGTGTCGCGCTTGGCGGTGAAAATCGAAGTCTTGATGACTTGCTTCATCGGCACTGAATGCACAAGAGATGGCGATGGAGAGATGGTCTCAAAGTTCTCGTATCGCTCGGCCACTGCCTGTATCGATGCAGTTTGCAGCTGCACAGGCGCAATTTCGCCTCCAGATTGGCCTCTTTCTCCCAGACGTAGGCTGCGAAAGCAATTTTCGCAGCCCAATGTGCTCGAAGGATCAGCGAGCCAAGCTCGCACCAGGTCTTTCAGATCGTCAGTCAGTCGCCACCGCCTCTCCTGGCAGTATGTCATAACCTCACGATACACGTGCCATCGTAGATGCGGCACGGCTTTGAGAGGACACTGGTCGCTGGCATCGCGACACTTCTCCTCCATTCGACACAAAAACACCCACTCTGACTCCATTTCCTTCAAACACCGATTGGCGACATCGGGATTGCAATCGAGGAGCATGAAAAATCGCCAGGGAAAAACTGATACAGAGTAGAAAAATCCCAGAATCGCTGAACTGTGGCTATGGTGTGTCTCCAATGCACTGCCAAGAGCTGCTCGGTGTCGTCGACATTGCAGATCAAGTCTTGGATGCTCTCTGGGCTCAAGGCAGACTTCAAAGTATCCCGGATCAAGTCTGGCCAATGCTTGACCACGTACGAACGAAGACGGAGACTTCCCTCCACGGACTTATCTTCTCGCACCTGGCATCTGCCAAACCGATCGCACCCTTCAAACTGAAAAATGAATCCGAACTGTTATTCTGAACCACCCAGTGCACTAGCTCCTATATCCCACCACCATCCCCGGAACTCCACCAGGACGATAGTAGTGCGAAAGTAGATAGCTAGCGAGCTAGCCGAGCGACGACCAGACGGACAAGCAACACAGCTAGCACGGACGTTCTTTTGTCTGGAGTGGCAACTATCCCAGGTTGCCTGGAGATAACTGATAGCCTTCGGCTATCTATCCCCAGGGTGGGCAGGGTGGGTACTTCAAAATTACCCCCCCTGATGGGGGACTTTATCCAGAATGGCCACGGTCACACACCGTCGTAGCCATTCCAAGTCACTGCTATCCTGTCTTCGCATGTCAGAGGCAACTCTCCTGCGAGCGACGATAGCGAACGAAACTCCGTTTCTAGCGAAGCTACCTTCGATAGCTTCGAGTAGTAATAGGTAAGCTAGCACACATAGTCGTAACTCGTTCCTCGTCACGAGGTACGTGCACTAGCTCCTATATCCCACCACCATCCCCGGAACTCCACCAGGACGATAGTAGTGCGAAAGTAGATAGCTAGCGAGCTAGCCGAGCGACGACCAGACGGACAAGCAACACAGCTAGCACGGACGTTCTTTTGTCTGGAGTGGCAACTATCCCGGGTTGCCTGGAGATAACCGATAGCCTTCGGCTATCTATCCCCACGCATCGCCACTCAGGCTACCAGGGATC